CCCCCCATATTATCCTTTGACAAAATATGTTTCACTTTCTGTAAAATTAGTTTTGTACAGGCAATGACGGACAGGACAAGATTGGAAAACGGGTATACTATTGAGTCTGATAACACAACGCAAGTTAAGACCATGACACTTTAGGGATCACAAAAGTTTATTTATTGTCTCCTGACCACACTCAAGCATCTTAGATGAAAGAATCTATAGAAATCTTGGTTCCAGGAGATGGACCTTAGATGATTTTCTTTAGTCATAGTCTATGTGTCCACCAGTGGGGCTTATGTTGTTTAGCTCCAACTACTTATTCTAAAGTAAAGTAAGGACATTAGGGATTTCATTGTCAGTGAAACAACTTCCTGGGCTTTCGGCATAATATTGTGGTAGTGTGGCCAGTTCCTTTCCACGCTGCCTTTACTTCCCCAACTCGAAGTCAGGTACCCATTACTGCTGGGTGGGCCGGATGGGGCGAAAAAAATCCATGTCCGAACTGAGACTCGAACCCAGACTTTCTGTTTTGGATGCCAGTGAATAACATTATGGTCAAACTATTTACTTCAGGGTGTTGGTTTAGTTGAAGGTCTTCCGGACCACGACGGTCTACCTTAAGTCCCCCCCAATTGACCTCGGTCAACTGAACTACCGGACTCGTAATCGTGAGGTTGCGAGTTCGGGGGTTCGAGTCGAGGGCCGACGTTGTGTCCTTGGGAAAGGCACTTTCCACAAATTTTCCTCACTCCACGACCAAGGTGGGGAATGGGTACTCGGCCATAGACAGCGAAAGATCTTGTCAGTATGTTAGTGTTTTAGTGCCTACAAATGGCCGCTTGCTTTGCACGCTTCACAGGAAGCTAAGGTTGTTTCAGAATGCTCTCAGGTCTGCTGGGGTAATAGATCAAAGAATATTATTGTGGTGGTAAATATTATGATTGTTAAGTAAATCGCGTACTAAGTTACCAGATGGGAGTATTTTCAGATATATCCCTCCCCCAAGTCCTGGCATACTGCAACAAGTGGACTCCTTCACCTAACTTGGAAGCGTCATGGATGGTAAAGGTGGAACCGAGGCGGATGTAAAAGCAAGAACCACCAAGGCAAGGTCAGCATTCAATCAAATGTCAAAAGTCTGGAAACCAAGCAACATCTCACTGCGCACCAAGATTCAACTCTTTACTCCAAGTCAGTGCTCCTCTATCGCTGCGAAACTTGGAAGACAACAAAGACAGTACGGAATAAAGTCCAGACTTTCATTAACAGATGTATGAGGTGTATCCTAAGAATTAAGTGACAGGATAGAAAGGAATAAGAAATGAACAGTTGTGGGAAAGGACAGGACAAAAGGATATAGAAGTAGACCTAGGACTAAGAAAGAGGCAATGGATGTTAAGAAAGCCCGGTCGCAACAGTGGAACCCACAGGGAGCACGAGGCAGAGGTAGGCCACGGGAAACATGAAGGAGATGTGTGGAGAGGGACATGAGAGAGATAAAGCTCACTTGGAACGAGCTTGGAAGGATGGTCCAGGACATAGATAAATGGGAGGAGCTTGTATGTGGCCTATACCCAGCCAGTGGTGAAAGGCATTGAATGACAGTCCCATGCCTTTATAAACCAGAAACGTCCCGGTAGACCTTCAACTAAGCCACTTGTCAGATCAGGCCCGTTGTAGACCCTCAACTGAACCAGAAACATAGCGGTAGACCTCCATCGGAACTGTTGTCATCTTTTTATATATATTTTTCACAAATTTTGTTTTGATACATTAATAATTTTAGGAAGAAATTATTGTCTTTCTTTTATAAGTATTTTTCTTATCACAAACATTACAATTTTGCTTAAATCGTAACTAAGATAAGCTCTTACATGCCTGTTGCGAAAGATAATGCCTACTTTTAATGTACCTGTCCCTTTCTCTTATTCTCTGTTTTATGTTTCAAGATTTTGTACAGGCACACGAACGTGCCAGATAGATAAGGCATAATGTCTTCATCATTTGCTTCATCCTATCATATTGTATTATCACACTGTATTTTGTTATTCACTTGTTGTCATTAGGGTTCCGTGTCTCGTTTTACAAATTCCTCTTTCCAAAAGATGTAAGGCGCCTGTATAATATTTAATTTGAATTAGTGAAAGCTGTTTACAAGCTCATCGTTTCTGTTTGGTTTGGACTTTACAAAAAAATGGTTACATAAAACGTAACATGGGACGCAAAATTCTGTCGACGGGAGGAGGGTTTGGTATTTGGAATTCAGAGAATAAGTAAGGACGACCAATGTATAGGTTTCTTTACCTAGTTTTTCCTTTGTTAATTTTAGTAAGCTTACTTCAGTATGAGGAGAGTTAGGTGTGTGTGTGTGTGTGTGTGTGTGTGTGTGTGTGTGTGT